TTACTTCCTCACCGGGCCCGGTTTCGCCGATGCAGGGCTTGCGAGAGCTGCAGGACAGCACGCTGGGCTCGCTGTTGTCGGCCCTGTTGCAACATTGCGAACCGCCACAGAGGAGGTTTCCGTTGGAAAAGGGCCTGGCCCCACCGTGGTGGCCCACTGGGCTTGAGATCTGGTGGGGTGTGCAAGGGGATTGGGCTAAGGCCCAGGGCCCACCACCTTACAGAAAGCCGCATGACCTCAAAAAGGCTTGGAAAGTGAGCCTATCGGCCGCCGTGATCAAGCACATGAGCCCGAACCTGGACCAGATGAGGAGATTGGTGTCGCAATCCAAGAGTCTGCAAAACAAGATGAGCGCCAGAGAGATCGAGACGTGGGCTAGAGTTCTGGACCGAGAGGAGTCTGCGTTGCGATTAAATGACTCGGGTAGCAAGGGGGAATGTGGAGTTTTTGATGACAAGAGGGAGGAGAAATGGGCTAGAAACGGCTCGGATGGGGTTATCGATGTCGAGGAGGACGAGACGGAGGAGATGGAGATGTCGTTTGAGACCGAGGAGATGGTTAGGGATTCAGGGTTGCTTGTTAACGGAGAAGAAGAACACCTTTGGCATTTTGGGTTGAGTTGATTACCAAGTGCATGTTACGAGTTTGAGAATTAGTATTAGTATGTATATTAATTTTCATGATTTTGGGTGTTTTTTTTTTTTTTTTTTTGCCCCTATGCTTCTTCTAATCTCTTTTTGCCTCCTCCTAGTTGATGCACTACTTGTATTGAGTTTTTTTTTTTGACATTCATTTGCTTCTTCTCTCTTTTATCATATTCCTGGTTTTTAGTTGATTGTGTAGTAGGGGGCACACAATTTATTTCTCTACTCCTCCATACAAATAAGAGAACACAAGATTCACTATTCATACTATAGTAAATTCTCGAGTATTATTACTGTAGCAACAGGAAATTGGATGATGTAGCAGTTTTTTAAAAAAAATATCATTGTGCTTCAAAATTCACTGTTCATGTTACAGTAAATACTGAAGTAGTATTATTACTATACTACTACTCATTCTGTTTCTATACTACAATAAAGAGAAACGTGAAGCATATTTTCTTTAATTTTTGCTAAAATTAATGACCCATCAAGAAAGTATGGGCTTCTCCCTCTGCAGTATAAAAGCGGTGTGGCACAGACTTCTGTAGCGATGAATTACAGCCAGCAGCCAGCACTGGAAAAGCCCACAGCCAGCCCAGCCCACTTAAAGAACCAAGATTATGAGAAAAAGAAAAAGAAATAGAACACCAAGGAAAAGAGTCAATGGAAGATTTTCAACAATCTCAAAAGGAATAAGGAATATCTCAAAGTGGGATATTCCGCACCTACCATCCAAATCTTTGTATTGTTAAATGCATTAACAAAAGAACTGAAAACATCTGAAGATAATGTATTTGGATCCTCTCCATTATAAAAAAATAGTATAAGGATCGCTATATAATCACATCCATTGATTATTTAGTTGATGATTTTGATTTTTTCTTTTAGTGTAAATTAGGAATGAGTACAATACACGGGGGTAAGATAAGTGTTAGATTTAAATTGTATCATAACCGCATACTAAATAATTAACGATTGATATTAAAAGTAGTGGTATCTTCACTATTTTTTTTTGTAGTGGAGACGATCGAAATCCGAACATAATTACGGCAAATCACTGAACATAATTAACGGACAATTAAAGATCAAATAGGCACATGACCCGATGAGGAAGTGAAGAGTTAACAGTGTTTGGAACTTTGAGAAGCTGCTTTCTGATGTTATGAGCCATGGAAAGGGCAGTTGGATTTGGTCTTCTTCTGCAAACCTCAACCTTTGATGTTTTTTTTTTTCTTTCAATTTTTTAATTTTTATTTTCAACAAGACAATTAATGGCACCGTACGTCTTGTAAATTAATCCAACCGTCACTTACCTTGATTTTAATAATAGCTCGTATGAATTCCCCCGGCTACTTCTCTTGTCAACCCTCAGAAATTTTGGGACAACCAACAACCTCCTTTTCTTCAATGTCAAAGACAAACCTACCGACTCCTGAATGCGATGGAAATCTAGATTAGCTGTGTTTGTCTTGAACATTCTTCAAACCTGAACCCTAATTTGGCACGTCGATACCTTTTTTTGCCCTGAATCATAATAACAACATCATGTTGTCCGTCCAAATGAAAAATGTTGCAAACATATCAAAGAGCTCTGCTACAGGGGACATTCTATTGCATAATAAGCTGGTCATCATTAATAACATTATGCAATAGGAGAGTGACACCTCACATGTCCCCTTTGTTGGTCTCATATTTTGGATCATTGGAAAAAAATTTCTTATTTTTTAAATGAAACCGATTGTATTTTCTTTTTTACGTGGCAATATGACTTAGATACGTGATCGGTCGGGAGCTTACTTTTTGATGAAACGAGTTTTTAAGTTAGCATTTTCATATTTATCTGGTTAGTGAAGTACCAAATAATTTAGCATATAAACTCTATTTTAGATGTTGGTATAACCCAGCTTTTGAACAACCAGCTTATAAGCTCACCTAAATAAACTATGCTTGATAATTAAAAAAAATCACTATTCTGTAAGCCACCAGAAGCGAAGATAACTTGCACAGAAAAGAACAATAAAAGCCTCCATTCCAAATTTTTAGGGTTGGGGTATAAATAACACTACAGGCACACCCTTAGCCACACTCTCAGCCACACCCCCTCACCTGCTACAGTGCAGGGGCCCCACCTGAGATTTTTTAAAAAATCTCAGGTGGGGCCCCTGCACTATAGCAGGTGAGGGGGTGTGGCTGAGAGTGTGACTAAGGGTGTGCCTGTAGTGCCACTCTTGGGGTATATCAATCCGACGAGAAGGGTCAAATTGCCAATATTATGGTTAATTGTTTTGCAATTTACCCCCTCTCAATTGTATTCATTAGTGTAAACAAATTAATATTTTGTTCTCTCACCAAACCCTTCTCCGCCAAAATTGGCAACGCCAAGCAGTCTTTCTTGTCTCTCTCTCTCTCTCTCACCAACTTCTCTCTCTCTCTCTCTCTCTCTCTCTCTCTCTCTCTAGTTTTCCTCATCAGTCGGCGATCTCTTCTATAAGAGAGCCCATAGATCTCTTCGACATGATCTCATTTGACCCATTTCTTTCCCTCCCCACCATCTCTTAGAGATTCTCTCAATACCCTTTTCCTCTCTTCGATCTTCTCGCTTTCTGGCTTATAAAAGGTGGGATTTTTCGACCCAAATCATCTCAATAGCTATCTCAGCTCTATTAGTTGTTGTTGTCGATTTTTGGTTCCGACTGCATGTAATTCTTTGTTCCTTTTATTGAATGTGATTTGGGTTTAGTGGATTTATGGGTTTATCCAGCTGATCTGATGCGGGTTTCTTCATTCTGGTGTTAAATTGAGAATACCCATTTCGGTTATTATAATTTTAGGGTAGTTCTTATAGACGTGATGCTCTTTCAATTTTTTTTAAATGTCATCGTCACACTAATCTATTTCTGTTTCATCGTCAGGGGGGGGCGGGGGGGGGGGGGTGAAGAGAGAAAAGAATTTCTTTAGGTTTATCCGTCTTGAAAAGTTTGATAGCAAAAATTTTCAATGGGTTATAGTTGAATATTAGTCTTCTTGATTAACTTGTTCATAAATTGTAAATGTAGTGCAACTCAGTTCTCAACAGAAATATTGAGTAAATGAAAAATAAAAACTGTCCTTGCTGCATCCTTTTGCCTATAACATATAATTCAAGTGTTTCTTGGAGATGAAGTTCTAACCTCATGTGGCTAGTGCTTTTTCCTTTTGTCTTCCTCTGGATATTCACATTGCATCGACTTGAAAAGTTATCAAGAACGATCTCTTGCGTTGTGTTCATTTTTGAATTTGATTAGGAACTGCTAAATTTCTGCTGTAGTGTTTTTTCCCCCAATAGTTTTGTATTATATATTATATGTAATTACATCTATTTGCAATCTAGGTAATGATAAACATATGTGAATTGAACAATGTATTTTTCTTTAGATTTCAGAATGGCTGCTACAACAATGCACAGTGCCATCGGGTCTGTGCAGGCCCACAGAGCTCAAATAAGCTCAAGCTCTCAAAATGGAATGGGAAGTTTTTCTGTCAAGATGGTTTCTAAGTGTTTTGGGATTGATATGAGACTTCTCGGAAGGGGTAATTACTGTTCAAGAGGCTTGAAGTTGGGTGGTGTTCATGCTTCAACATCCTCGATAGCTGATTCAGTCCAAGCACCATCAAACAGCAAAACTACTGATTCACAGAAGAAATCAAGTGACTTACTATCACTTTTATGAGCTAACTCGTTTTATATAAAGTTTTCTATACGTTATACTCTTTGTGAGCTGAACTTTTATGGGATGATTAAACCGATATTTCATTTGTTTATAGATGAAACTGCTCTTATATTGATTCGCCATGGTGAGTCCTTGTGGAATGAGAAGAATCTGTTTACTGGTTGTGTTGATGTTCCTTTGACCAAAAAGGGTGTCGAGGAGGCGATTGAAGCTGGTAAAAGAATAAGCAATATTCCAGTTGATATGATTTATACATCTGCTTTGATTCGCGCCCAAATGACCGCTATGCTTGCCATGACCCAGCATCGCCGCAAGAAGGTTTTCTTTGACTTTGTTTATTTATTCCTTTCTTCATGAAGACAGAAATGTTTTATCATATTTTTTTTACTGAAATATTTGGCCTTGATTTTCAGGTTCCAATTATCATGCACAACGAGAGTGAACAGGCTAAGACTTGGAGCCAAATGTATAGTGAGGAGACTCAGAACCAGTCAATACCAGTAGTTACCGCTTGGCAATTAAACGAAAGAATGTAATTTCCCTCCTTATTCTGTTTTAGGTGACTTCATTTGCTTG